TTACAGAAGCCATTCACCATCACAACAATTTGTTGATATCATTTTCAGGAAATCCCCAAATCTTGCCACACTTGCTCTGTGGGGATTTCATCACCTGTGGATCTGGCTCATGCTTTTGTATTTAGGCTGCATGTTCTCATCAACATCAGGAAAATGATTATTGCTGACACTGGTTATGATCTACCAGTGTGGTGAAAATGATTCATTTGTATGAATCAAATTTGGAGTACCATTATGGAAAGTGTTAGGTTGAGATCATGTTCCACCAACTATTAATGATGCCTCTCTATTAATGTAGGAAATAGTTTTGTCACATCCACACATTAGCAGTTGAGCTGTGGTCAAGGGGAGTCCCACCATTAATAATAGGTCAGTAGCGAGTCATTTCTTACTGTAAATGGACACTTTGTCTTTTGAAAAGACAGAATGAAACCACAGAATCCTAAAAAAGAATTCAAATTCTCAGCTTAGATCTTGTTTACATTGGTTCTCTCATGTACTAAGAAATACACAGGCTACCTTTCAGAACAGCTGATTCATTTGTCATGGTGTAGTCGTACTAATCCATTGCTCGCTCAAAGTTCTGTCTGACGCCTAGATGGCACATCAGCTAACATGGTATAGTAATTACTGTAGCCAACAGTATACAAGATAGTGAAGGGTCTGGCAGTGTATCCAGTTACTTATGACTTGATTAGCTTGAAGGCACAGGCGCTCATTTACAGCTGGCACATGGAGGGTGGGGAAGACAGCCTTTGCCATGCATCTAGAGCAAGGCTCTACCTCATACCACCAGATTTGTAGCAAGATCCCTTGACTGCCCTCCCACTGCACCCCTTCCTCCATTATCGGTACAATTTTTGTAGCCAACGACCTTGCCATGCTGTCCTTGTAAGAAAACTTCAGTTTCATTCTTTTTACACTTTTACCTTAGGCCTCTCAGAAGAAAAGTAACCATGTTGTGCTGCTTGGAAGAAAGAGTGACTCAACAAATGACACTGTCCTAAGGCTGGGGCTGGCAGTATCCAGGCTAGAAGTGGAAGTCAGAAGAGTAAGTTATAGTCTTTATAACAAAATAACTCTGTATAATGCTCAAAGTAAAATAAAGGTCCACCCTGCATTATTTTATGCTCCACGTTGAATTCTAATTCACAATGTTCTTGAATACGGTAAATGTATGTAGTCAGCATCCCCTCATTAGTGATCTGTACTAATGGCACGTACAAGGGTCAGATGTCATTAAGACTTCAGTATTTGGGGAGTAACTAATTTATAAATTCTGTTTTCTATCTCTGGGGAAAACTTGCTAAATCAAGGATCTGGGGTGGTGGAAACATAGGCAAAATTAACTGCAGTTGATTAAAAAAGAGAAAACATAAGCATACAGCTATTTCCTTTTTTAACAGGTAAGTGTAAACAAACCAAAACATTTTGTAAATGAAAAATCCAATCTTCTGGCTTGGGGAATCCTAGCAACTTCACTAGAAGACACATGTATGTATGAATGTGTGATCTTTTTTTCTTTTTAAGGAGGATGTTGCTATTTTGATATAAAGGAAGGTAATAAAGAAGGAAGGAAGGAAGAACAAGCTAGCAAGTTATCTTAAAAGCACTATTGATTTTTCTCCAAATATTAAAAAACCCCTACCCACAGTTATCTCTAAGATTCTAGAAATTTATAGTTTATAGTTTATAGTTTCTAGGGTCGGAAGGGACCGGAGCAGATCATCTAGCCCGCCCCCCTGCCACTGAATTAAAATCATTTACGATATACTGAAATGTATTTTAAAAATCTTTTTGCTTGATACCAGGGATGGAGAGATTAATCATACCAAAATGATAAACCAGATCCTCAGCTTAACATAGGTAGCTCTGTGGCAGGCCAGTAGGGGGTGCTCCTGCATCAAGTTACCCACCTCACTGCACCTGACCACCTTTCAGGCTCTGAGTGCCTCCCTGGGGGTGCCTCACTTTTGGCCGACCCCTTTCCTGGAGCGCACCCACTAGCTTGAGGGGGTTCCACTGCCATCACCCAGGGCTGGGCTTGATTCTGGCTCTGCGTCCCCTGGGAAACATAGGCCTAGTAGCCCTCGAGGGTACTTGATTCATTTCAAGAACTTGGGGTGCTTCCCTCAGTCAGAAGCACAAGTAGCAATCTCCATTAGTCAGCTGAACCAAGGGGACCCCAAGGCATAATCTAGACCCACTCCCAATAAGTCTCCCACACTAGGTACAAAGGAGAACTTTATTGGTTACAAAGGGTAGGGCTAGGGTAGGGTACAGGGTAGAGCAATATCAGAGAAATCCCATAGAGCAAACTCCCCTGGCTGGGTAGCCTTTGATCACGCATCTGAATTACTACAAGCTATATATCTCATTAGATCTCAGGTAGCTTACTCACAAGTATCATCCAGAGGCAGATGGGGATTCCCTCTGGAGGCAAGCAATTCATTGATCATGAGTTTTGAGAGAGAAAGCAAGTTTCAGATGGTTAGGCTCAGAGAGAGAAAAGAGCTGTTCTCATGACTGCCACCCCTTCCTCCTGGGCAGTCTTTGACTTATATAGCCCTTGTGACCTCATTTACCTGGTCCAATGGAGGCCAGCACCTGTTGGCTGTCAGCCAACCAATTTGAAATACATCACTAGTTGCCGGACAGACTCTAGCCCACCAGGGCGCAAACCCATCACCCAGGTATGTGATCCCAGTCACGTAGGCAGAGGCAGCAGGTTCCCCCCCTCCCTCAGGAATGTATCCAGCTCAGCTTACCTAAAGAGATAGGGTCAGGTGTGTATCCCCTGCTGGTCTCATCCTAACCAGACTGTCACAGAGCAGAGTTTTTGGGGAGAAACAGAGGTGGCCTTCTGCCACAAGCTTCATTGGCTGAAATGGTGCTAAAAAGTGTGTTAGACCCAGCTGAGGTCCGTCTAAAGAACCGTGTTCTCCAAGCAGCAAATCTAGACACTTTCAGTCTAGGAGTAACACAAAAATGTAACACCTTCAGTCAGGTGAAAGACTTGCTTTAAACTGACATACACTAGTCCTCTGAGAAAATTTTAGGTTTCCTTAGTTTTTACAGTAAAAATGGACCAAAAGCTATGGACAATACTAGCCTTATTCCCAATTTACCTGCTCTAGCCCCTTAATTAAGAGCATGAATAATAAGCAAAGTTTTTCAATTGTGGGAACAGGAAGGAGATTTCAAAATAGGTTAATTCTTCTTGGAGGCTGTGCATACTCTCCTCTGTTTACTATTGCCCGAGGTAATTGTACATGAAGTACTTGGAAAGATTTGAAGAGATTCTTGGTTGGAGTAAATCGCTGTTTTACTGGTTCATACCCAAGATTTCTACTGCTGTAATAGAATTTAGCAAACTCAGCAGGAATTAGGGCCTTGTTGTCTGATACGTGATACAAAGCACATAAAAAATAATAAAAAGAGTCATAGCATAGAGATGTAGGGCTGGAAGGGACCTCTAGAGCAGTGTTTCTCAACCCATGGGTCATGAGCCAAAAGTAGGTCACAAGAATATAGGAAAGGGTTGCAAATAAACTTTAAAAATGGATCAACAAACTTTAAAAATGGATCAACAAACTTTAAAAATGGATCAACAAACTTTAAAAATGGATCAACAAACTTTAAAAATGGATCAACAAACTTTAAAAATGGATCAACAAACTTTAAAAATGGATCAACAAACTTTAAAAATGGATTCTCCTTTGAAGGAGAAAAAGGGAAGCCATGGCCTTTCCCTTCAGCCTGCAAGGGGCTGCTTGCCCCCCCCCCCACATACCGAGGCACTGGGGGCTGGGGAGAAGTGGGTTGGGTGTGCGGGGCACTGGGTCAGGACTGGCCATCAGTGTTTACAAATAGGTCCTGGTACAAAAAAGGTTGAGACCCATTGCAGTAGAGGTCATCTAGTCCAGGCCTGAGGCAGGCTCATCCCCATCTAAACCACCCTGTACAAATCCATAATCTAACCTCTGCATAAATCTACTGCTCAATCTTGACACAATGCAGCCCTAACACCCTACCTAACCTGCCCCGGGTAAAGCGGGGGAACCTGGGCAGCCACTGTCGTGTGCTGCCAGAAGAGGCTCAAGAGAGTCAAGGCTGCACTAGGAGTGGTTAAAAATGAAGACTGCCCTACCGGGAACCTTAATTTCCAATGCGAATTTTGAAACCGGCTTTCCATCCTGCCCCTTTTTCTCCACAGGGCCCTGCCTCCCTCAGTGCCTGCAGCCCAGCAGGGGTCACCCTTTCTTGCTAAGCCCCTCAGCCCTGCATGTCCCTGGTCTCAAGCCCTGAGCTCTCCTCAGCTCCTGTCCCGGAACAGCAAGGTAAGCACACCCTTGCCTGGCCTGGGATTTGCCTTGGAAACCCTCGGTTCAGCATTGCCAGCTCTGAAATATGAACATACTGTATTGGGAGCTCAAAATGATTGTATTTGCTGAAAAACTAGTATTCAGCAAATGATTACTATTCAGCAAATAATAATTTGCGGAAAACTGGACACATATTACTAAGGTGTCGTCTTCTCTATTATCTGTTCCTCACACTAAGTCTCCAGTGAGCGAGAACTGGGTCATCCAAAAACGCCTTTATTTTGAGGCAAGCAGCCATAAGCAAGTACTAACAGCCCACTCAGAAGTTAGCGAAGACTCCCTGAGCGTGACGAGGGTTTTGCATATGCTGCGTCATCTAGCTGCCTGGAAAACTGCGGTACATTTTGCAGACAAGGGTCTGGGGGTGAATCCGGTCCCTTTGATCAAAAGAGTCGGCAAACTACTTCTTTGCAAACTTTCCGGCACAGACGCTGACGAAGGGGTGCTCGTACCTGAAAGCCAGTAACGAACGATTTTGTCCAGCTATTTTCGCCGGTCTAACAGAAGAGACCGGCTTTCCCCCGAGAGCCGAGGCGGCCGGGCGGGGGAGGAGTCGGGGCTGGGGCCGGCGGCGGGGCTGGCTCCCTCCTGCAGCCCGGCTGCTTCCTCTTCCGTCCTCCCGCGGCCGCGGCGGCGCAGCCCGGCGTCTGCAAACTTGCAGCGCCCGCGGGGCACGGGCGATGGCAGCGCGGGGCTGAGCAGCTCTGCTCGGGGGCAGCGCAGCATGAAGAAGCCGGACGGGAAGGTGGTGTTGCTGGGGGACATGAACGTGGGCAAGACGTCGCTGCTGCACCGCTACATGGAGCGGCGCTTCCAGGACACGCTCAGCACCGTTGGCGGCGCCTTCTACCTCAAGCAGTGGGGGCCCTACCACATCTCCGTCTGGGACACCGCAGGTCCGCCCGCGGGCGCGGGGCGCTCCGCACCGCTGCTGCCCCGGTCCTGCGCAGGGCTGCTGGGACAGGGCGGAGGTTACAGACTGGGATGTAGTTTAACGGGGGGCGGGGCGACCCTTGGGGCCTTTCCCCAGTGCCCCTCTTTCCCCTGCCTATCTGCTGCTCCGCTTGCAGCTCCCTGCGCGGTGCCGTCTGCCAGGCCCACTGCTGCTTCCTCCTCAACTTGCTGTATGCTCGGTGCTCCCCTGCCCTCTCTGCTCCTGTGTTCCCTACTCTAGCCCTTGTCCACAGCCTGCCACGTGGAGGGCTGCCTGCTCCATTTGTGGCACGCAGGAGGCTGGCTTGTCCCCAGTCTAGGAAATGTGTTGTGTTTCAAGTATGTGATGTGTCTGTGGGCCCCTGGCTACCATGCTCAGTGGGACGCTTCTCTGCTTTGAGTCTGTGACCCAGGTTCTCTCTTCCCATATATCTGGTGCCAGGCATGCTTTTGGCTGATGCTGTAAGGTAACTAGTTTGGAGACAAATGGGAGTCTGAAGCAATCTGTATTTCTGATAGTCCCATGAATGGTGGGGTTTTTTAGGGGGCTGGGGGGTTATTGGTTTGGAGGTTTTTTTTGTTTTTAAAGCACTTACTGCTGATCTTGTCATGGCTTACAACAGTTATGTTGCAATTGAAGTTGAGGTGTGGGTGGCACATAGAGGGCAACACTTGCTCTACTTCTTCAGTTTGTTCTAGGTCTGATAGTGGTCAAAACCAGTTTTCCCTGTGTATAGCTGGATGTTCTTTTGTGGCAGGAACTGGAGAGATCCTAGCACTTGTACTTGGTAAAAAGCTAGACTAAATTGCTACCTTCTGCAGCATATTTTCAGGGATCAGATGTATGCAGTGGTCAGAATAATTGGTTTGAAAAAATGACGCTAAGTTGAGTATTCAAGGATTTTTGTGGGTGATCTCTGTTATTGGACCAAATGTATTGTTGGGAGGGATACTGCCCACAAAAATGCTTGCTGCTTGTATTTTTCCTGGACCATCACAGCTACAGTGTCACCCAACACTTAAGTTTTGTAAATGCGGTTCTGTGCCTAGGGCAAAATCAGTGGGGACACCTTGTGCAGGATTTAAGAACTTTTTGACAGGACTGTCATTGAAAGCAGTAAACTGTGCCTTTCTGTGTTTCATTACCAGTGCAATCAGTATTCTGTTCATCTATATAATGATCAAGCACCTCTTGCTAAACTGTGTGTAGAGAAGAAAGTGCTGAAAAAATCCTCTGGAAAACAGCTGCTGAAGTGAGCGACACTACTGGATTGTTTTGTTATACTATGTTTGTATTCTAGCTTCTGCATAACAGAATACAAAGATCATGATTCCATGCAATAGCTGTATGCATTTTGGGCTTTTTTTCTTCCTGCAACTTGATTTTCTTTTTTAAAGAAGGGAAAAGCAAAGTTAGTTATGAACTAACCAATTAATTGTGGCACCGAAGAGCACTGTAGTGGCAGCGTTGTGAGCCTTTCATAGCAGATAACCAGCAGGTGCAGGTGATTAACAGTCTATTTCAGTAGAAAAATTACAGTTAAATTTGAGTTTCTAATTATTCTTTGCAGTGCAATCCTGCTGCTTCCTGACTTTCTCTGGATTTACAAGCATATTATGCATTATTTTTACCCCACATGTTACATTCTGGTCTTCATAGTTGAGGATTGCAAAGAACTTTAAGGACTTCCAAAGGACTCCCACCTCTATACTTCTTAATTTACAGTTAGAATGGCAACTTTTGAGTGACTGAATGCACTTTTTTCTTCTGAGTTCTCACTTTTGCAACCCCTAAGTTTCCAGCTGTTCCATAAAAGAACCAGAACTAGCTTAAATGGTAGGTTCAACCTTAGTTTTTGCAGCACCTAGACTGGAGCCTTAACACTTAGCTAGAATCTTTTAGGTTACAAGCTTATTTCTATTGGGTTATCTCTCAATACGGTTTCCCCTTATCTCTGTTGGATGAATATCAAGTGAGTTATGAATGTTCACCATGAAGATAAGTTTAAACCTTTCTCTTGCAGTTTGTTCCATTACCTGCTCTAAAAATCATTTTCCTTACGCTTAACTGGTATCTTTTCTGAACCAGTACTCTAGGTATAATTTGATTTCTATCTGACTTTTAACGTCCTCAGCATAACTGGGCTCTGTGCACTCGTGTTCCTCTTTCTTTTTGGTTGTGTTTTTATAGTAGAGATGTCTCATATCTGAGTATTTCGCAAATAAGAGCAGGGGTTGAGATGAGTAAGAACAGTAAAAGATAAAAGATAAAATAGAAATAGAAGAGACTTGAGAGAATGACAACATTTCTTGTAGGATCTCAAAGATTACTACTAACTTTTTTTTTTTTCAATTTGACGTGGGCCTGGAAAGAGGCAGTATATTAAACTGCACGCTTCTCTGGGGGTCATAAGAGATGAGGGTGTTTAAATAAGTGGGTTATTGCTTCCTAGGTCAGTGGAAGCATTAAGATGGGATTTTTCATCTTTGGGTATAACATGTGGCAGCAGTCTATTCTGAAGGCCAGATAAGCTTGGACCATTGTGAATTAGGCAGTGTTGGACAGAAAGGCATGTAGCTTCTTCCTAGACTTCCCCAGTTATGTTTAGCCGCCACATTGTTTTGTGTAAACAGCAACAATGGGGTTCTGGAATATCTGTAATTTGTTTTGTTGAAATATTTAGCTTCTTGAAGTATCTTTTGCCTTGCCCTTCCTATCTGTAATAACTCTTGCAGTACAAATATCAACAAAAGTTAGTTTGGAAATGTAATGTTTTTTTTAAAGCCGCCTGAAGCTGGTGTAGTATTGTAATGCCTCCAAACACAAAGTACTTGTAATGTTATGTTAGTACTGATAGTGCATAACACTACAAGAGTTTATGATGAGAATAAAAGTTAATATAGAAAGTAGAAAAAATTCAGGAAATAAAGGGCAAAGAAGAGGTGTAGGATTGCAAATGTGCATGTGTGTAATTCTCTCTCAGCAGCATCATTGCTCCTGGCAAAAGTGCTGAATTGAACACTTACCATGCTAATAATTTAGTACAAACAAAACAAAAAATCTGTACTAAAAGGAGACTATCGCAGTACTATTTTATGCTACTGGGGAAAAAATAGGGAAGCATTAAAGTATGAAGTGATGGAGTGCTGTAAATTAACTGGTATAATGATTGATTATCAGGAATCCTGGTTTTCTGTGATTTTAAAAAATCCCCAATTTTTGGCTTTAAAAAAAAAAAGAACCCCATATCCACATTTTTCCCTGATTTAAATGAAACACCACTAATATATATAGAGAGAGATATAGTGGTGTTTAATTTTAATCGGGGAAAAATGTGGATTTGGGATAACTGTTTTTTTTTAAGCCAACAATTGTTTTTTTAAAAACCAACAATTGGATTTTTTTTTAAATCGGAGAAAATCAGGATCCCTGCTGATCATTTTGACTGTAAGAATAAGTGCACATTTCTTCTCTCTCAACTTAATTGCTGGTGTTCTGAGTCACTTATGCATCCAGCTGTACGTGCAAATCTGCACACCCTGCAGTGCTTACTAGAGCATGATTGGCTCTGAACGAACCCAATTTTTATCATCAGGAAGAGTCCAAGTTGCATAACAATCAACTACTGATAAGAGAAGCCCAAGTCAAACACGCAGCAACACATTAACAGTCTTTTATAGTATTGGCATAGTGTAGTGAACAGTGTTTTGACTTGGACTCTGTAAAAGATGTTGGGTTTCTCAGCTCTCCAACAAAGGAAATGAACCTTTTTTTTTTTGGTGAAGCAAAATGACAGATTGCACACTGGCTTTTCCATGGAAGTGTCCATTTTACTGATAATTGACAAATAGCTTAAAAGGCTTAAAATGTTGAAAAATTTTTCAAAACAAAAATTCCAAGAATCAAATGAAAAGTTATTTCTCTTTTCTGCTAAATAGATCCTAGAATTTGTGGCCCAGATTCAACAATCCATCTCAGTGCCCAATGGCTTAACTACTTTGCTGAATGGTAGGCTTCAATGCACATACAAGCATTCTCTCCAGTTGGAAATACAAAAACAGGCATGCCCACTGCAGACAATTCCCTTCCTTACCCAGTTCTTTGGGCTTTTAGCTTTCCTATAGAGAGTTCACTCATTCAGTTATGTCCATCTCTTGTGTACATTTCTCTGTGCCTACTTTAGAAAGTAGGAAGGCAGAAAGTTGACAAGAGACAGAATACTCAGACGTATGTATGTCCCTTGTCCCCCTGATCCCTTGTAGACTTTCACAGCAAGTAATCTATTTGGTTCAAATGCCATTGCTATGGTAAGAACACTTCTAATTGTTAGACCTGAATTATCAATGCTAAAATGAAAGCATATAATTCACTGTTTACATTTCATCCCATTAGTGCATTACAAAGATTTCTTTTTAAGAGTGCTAACTTAAGATAACTTAAACTATATAGCTGGACCTACTCCATAAAAAGTAAATTTTATGCTTCCAAAATATCGTAGTACTTAACAATAATTATTGGGTTGGGGCCTCCTTTTCAAACCAGTTGAGAACAGGCCTTGTGACTTCCTTGGACATTGTTCAAAGAAATTTATTTAGAATCAAACAACCAAAATGAGGTCACATACAAAAAAGGTCTCCCTTGTGTAGACTGTAGTAAGTCTTAAGCTGTTTAATGACACAATAGTACAGTGTTACCTTTATTTGCTTGACTATAGTTTTGCTACAAGAAGAACAGGTGAAGGACATGCTCAGGTGAGAACATGTTACAAGGTGTAAACCTTTTTGGAAAACTTAAGTAAAATACAGTATAACCTCATAAATCTGGATATCAAAAATCCAGAATTATCTAAATTCCAGCACTTTCCCCACCACATCGGGACTAGCTGCCGCTCCCTCCCCCGTCCTCCCGGATGCAGAGGGGGAAGCTTGCATGCAGCAGCTGCCACTGCCATCCACCACCCCA